GTGAATAGTCACATAGTCATCACAAAATTAATAATATTAGGTCGTGAAGAAAGTTCTTGCGCTTTTCAGTGTTTCGTTTTTGAACGCTTTATTTTGTTACGAAGGTTTTGAAGAGCTTTTCTTGTTCTATCTAACAGCTAGGCTAGCTATGTTTCTTATCATTTAGTTGTCATTTTTTGAAGCCTTGAATACGGCATACTCCAAGAGCAAATTTGCATGATTTCCTTTTTCTAGCTCAAAGCAGGCCAGTATGGAGAGGAAGCAGGTCAAGATATTATAGACGCACTTGGCTGAGATTCGCAATAAATATGGTCTGAAGCAATTGTTCAAAAAGCTTTTGTAAGAATAGCGAGAGCCCTAAAGATTGTGAGGGTGGTGATCGGAGATTGGACAACGCCAACGATTAGTCGAACGTTTCTGGTTGAAGCACGTTTGCACAAATCTATTGAGAGGGTTCCTCCTAAACTAATCGCACTTGCATTGTGTTTTCTTGTTGTACGGGAAGAGCTGGAAAGTCCCAAAAATTCAAATAGGGCGTGCCGCGACAGCTCACCATTTTGAAGGGTCGTTCGCCGCGTTTCTAGCTTGTTTCATGCCATGAAAACGACCTGACTTTTTGATCATTTGCGACGCACGACAAAGAAGAACGACAAAGAACGGATTCTTTGCTACAGAATACGAACCTTTGGTGAAGTGATCGACCGCGATCAGGCTCTACAAACTTTGCAAAAGTGAAACTTCACTGAAGGAAGGTTGAGGTGACTTTCATAAGGTCAGCGGCTGGTCTAGCTTTTCGTAACCAGGTGGATCTGTTAATGTGGAAAAAGTACTCCTGATAATGTGTCAAATTACTCCTAGAACTCTGGCACATATGCTCGAAATTCCTCATTATAAAGGAACCGTCGTCCCTGTGTGATCGGATGCTCGCCACACGCACATTCCACAACCAACCCTGCAGAAGTTGGACAAGATTGGCTACGAATTAGTCCTGCGAACATCCTACTCGGTAGACCTTTTGCCTATAATTTGTCACTTTCTCGACTACCTGGATAGCTTCTCCAAAGAGTTATGCTTCAAAAACCAACATGATGCGGAAACGACCTCCGCCGGGTTCATCGTCTCTAGAGCTCCAGTATTCTGCACTACCGGGCTGATTCAACGCAGCTGTTATTGGCAGAGGTTTGTGGATTCTAACAGTCTTTACTCCAATCAAAAAGGTTTCGAATGAGCCGAGATACAGGCATTTGAAAATCAAGGTCGAAAAGCGCAAGAACTTTCTTTCAGGACCTAATATTACGTACTTTCACCAATGAATTGTGATCGCCAGTTTGCCGGACCAGCAGAAACTGTTTAAAGGCCGGAGTTTATCATTAAAGGCAGCTGATGGATGACAGTGGCTTAAGTGATCAACTGCAATGAGAAAAATTAAATTAGAGACAGCTGGCAGAACCATGAAAAAGAAAGAACAAGATGAGAGAGTTATGAGGGAGTCACGTGTTCAATGTGAGAAAAAGCAAACGGCTGCAGGCAGCTCATTAGGAATTAAGGATGGAATGGTCATGAGTAAAGGAGCTGCCAGAGCTGTGAAGAGAGGCTTCCTTGCCCCATGATTGCCGCACTGATGCGACTCTCTTCGGGAGTGTCCTATTCAACGCTAACCCCACTAATTGTAAGTGAGTATTAGCGCTAAAGCCTTCTCTGCTAAAACTGCTAGACCTGCGGCTAGCGGTGAACCAGTCGATGGGCGCATCGCGTCGACAGGGCCGCGGGAACGGCCATGCTAGATCGCTGCAGGCATATCCTCCGCTGCAATTGCGTGTTGGTCCGCACCTTTAGTAATCCGCCTGACTTTCCCCTTCTTCGACCTTATCGCGGGATTCTCGCTCAAAGACGTCCGAGGCCGAGCTGGTTAGACAAGTTGTATGAGGACCTTAAATTAGTTGGCCTCCACCCGACCAATTATTGAATCGGGAAAAGTGACGTCACCATACCAGAAAAAGGACTGTGGCACAAAGCGGGATAAACATGAGAGTGAGTCGAGGATTTGTATAATAGTATCTTAAAGGATAGAACAAGACGGCTATTTCAAGTGCAATCAAGCTCTTTGTGGAGAGCTGTCTGCTTATAGCATCTCTATCGCAGCCTGTTGAAAGGAGATAGTTTGGGATAGGAATTATCAAGGTATCATCCGTTCTGAGCAGTCCGTGAATAATTAATGTGTCGCCCTTGCACCTTTTCTTCCGGAAGCCAGGTGAATCTGTAAATGCAGAACAAACATCACGCGTGACGGAGCCTCAAAAAAATGGAAAGCTCATTCTAGGGAATCGTAAGAGCATCGAAAAGAGCAGATGTTTGGCACTAATCATAACGAGGCCATTTTCCCTTCCGTGCATCCCTAACCCTTTACAACGCCCGGACATTCGTGTCCCTTCCTTAGGTACCGACTTTACAAAGATGATCAAGCTTTATTCCATATTTTTGAACATTCATTAAAATACAATTCTCGCTCGTTCTCGACATTTCTCATCGCCTCCAAACGTTTCGTATTCCGTCGCTTCGATTTTCTAATAATCCATAACATCACTAATGGCGTTAAGGTCGTGTAGTACGGTATTATCTAAACAGCTCAGTTCAGATAATCTCAAGGTACATTAAATTCCAACAGTAGGTGCGATAGGATTTGAAAGAGCATTAGAACAGAAAACTCACATAGGTAGCGGCGAAAATTGTCCGAAATGCGATCAAGCTCAATTGATTTCTGAACATCGCAACAACAACCCCGGTGGCCGTGAACAAGAACAGGAACACCGCTTGAAAAAATGATAACGGACAAAGCATTTGAACAATATGTTGATTCTCCCGTATATGGAACGAGTCGCTCAAACAGTAGGTTTTCCTGAAATGTGAGATTTTCAGCTGACTTGAGGAGAATATTGGGTCATACTAGCGCCCTGTATTAAGAAACATGTAAGCGTGGAAGCGTTTCTGGAAGCTGAAATAATGAAAAATTCAAAGAAAACTGTACATTTTCAAAACCTTTCTGTATAAATTTCGAATTTCGAGCTATAGAGCTCTTCCTAGAAGCATTTTTGTTGTCTGAAGGCACTTTGAGCCCAAGTAAGTCAATAACTAGCTGTCGATGTTTCGCTGCCTATTTGAATAGCCAGCCAGGGTTGGGTAGTGGAATCGGAGCCGC